ATAAAAATCAATTCAACATAAATAACTAAACCAACAATTAACAAATTTGTTCCAAACATAAACAAAGATTAATCCAAACTAAACTAAAACATAAGCAAAAATTAAACCAACAATGGAGGGGAAGGTGAAAATGAAAATTGAGAAATGAATTAGGGTTAAAATTAAATGTAAGTAGAGGAATAAATTGGGTTCATTTTTATGGATTGAGTTGGGTTGAGTTGAGTTAGATAAAATTGGGTTAAATTTAATTTTGATTGAATTGAGTTTGAAATTAAGTTTTGGTTTGTGTTTGGGTTTGGGTTTAGATTTGGGTTTGAATTTAATTTTGAGTTTGAAAGATGAATTAAATTTAAAATAAAATTAATTTATATTTGTTTTAATTTTTGCGGGGATGGGGATTCCCACGGAGTGGAGAAAATTCTCCACGAAATTTCACAGGGAGAAAATGCTCACCATCCTCGCCCTGTCCCCATGACGGAGATCCTTACGAGGCCCCACGGGAATCAGGAGAAATTGTCATCCTTAGGATTTGGAAATGAGCTAAAAAAAAAAAAAAGAAGAAGGAAGATAGCAGCCCATGAAAAGCTCGGCCCAATTCTTCTCTTAAAGCCTTATGCTCACGGTCCATTCTCGAAAATGAATATGCTTTTGCAAACACTAAATCTCTGTTTGGATTCACGGTGTTGAGGGGGAGGAAAGGATAGTGCTGGAAATTTTTTTTTTATTTAAATAATATCATTAATGGAGGAGGAACGAGAGAGAGAGATAGATAGAGAGGGCAGTGGATGGCTTCCAAATCTTTTATTTTTAATCTTTTTAACATGAGGGAATTCAAAAGTATTATATTTATATTTATTTTATTTTTTAAAATATAATCAAAATTTATATTTTAACTTCAATTTTAATATATGAATTTATAAAATTTTAATTAATCTTATAATTATTTTTTAATTTATTTAATTAAATAAAAAAATATTATCTCTACCTTTTTTTTTTAATCTATCTAAATAAAATTAATATTAATATTAATCATCTACTCTCTTTTTCTTTCTTTCTTTTTACTTTACCTCTCTTTTCTTCACTTTCTTTTATTAATTTTTATCCCAACATAATAACAAACATAAAACATGGAAAGGGAAAAAAAAAAAAGGGGTGGGGGCTAAAACTTAATTTTAGCCTTTCATCTTAATAAGTTTATAAATTTTAATCTATCACCTTATATCATGACACTTTTAGTCCTTTACCATAATAAGTTTCTAGGTCCTAATCCCTCATCTTATACTATGACACTTTTAATTCCTTACCTATACGAATTGAAGAAAATAACCCTTACTTAAATTCAGGTTATAAAGTTTTATTAATTCTATTAGTTCTATTAGTTGACTGTTAATTCTGTTAATTGACTGTTAATTTCGTTAATTAACTGTTAACATTCCATTAACGAAATTAATAAATAAAATTTAATTCAAATTTCATATTTTCTATAATACTAACAGATCCTAACAGTCAAATAATAGAGTTAACAATCAACTAATAGAACTAAAAAAATATTATAACTTAATATTAAGTGAGGACTATTTTTTTTAATTCATATATGTGAAGGGCTAAAAGTATCATATTATAAGGTAAATGACTAAAACCTATAAATTTATTAAAGTAAAAAGTAAAAAGTATTATACTATAAGGTAAGAGACTAAAACCTATAAAATTATTAAGATAAAAGGTTAAAAATATGTTTTTATCGGGAGTAGGAAGGTTAAAGGGAGGGGAGAAAAAAAAAAACCGCAAAGCAAGTCTCCTCCCTCGGTTTCGGCCTCCTTCTCCAATCTCGTTTTTTTCATCCATGGCTGGATCTTCCTTACTTTGATGAATAGCAACCAGGGGAAAGGAAAAAAATAAATTTCAAATTTAGGGCTCTCAATTTTTCTTCCCTGGTTTTGGACTTCCTCTCAATTTTTCGATCTCCACTACCCACTAACCTATGTCACCGATTTCTTCACCTTAAACTCTGCTTGTCTTTTTCTCTTAGATCTATTTTTTGGGAGGGAGAAGAGAAATCAAAAAATAGGGTAGGCGAAATAGATTTGGTCTCAATTTTGCTTCTTCCATGGAGGAAAGATCAGAGGAGGATTATAGGTTGGACAGAAGCAGAATAGTGAGATTGGAGACATAATTCTCTACAGACTCAGCAGCCAAATTCCAACGTTTGTTTTGGGACAATTGGTGCTTGGCTGTTGGCTAGGCATACTCTAGAACTAAGAAATTGATATGTAGAAAAACTTAGAAGTCACGTGCAAGTGGCATATGCAGGTGGCATATCAGTTGCTATTGGTTTGTGTCAATTAATATGCTAGTATAAATGTGTTTTGTAACTCTTAGTTGGGTGTTCAGTTATTTTTGTGTTCTTCAATCTTCTTAAATTCCTCTGTAATTCTCTTGTATTCCAGACTATATTTGCAAAGGATATATATCGAAGATCCTTTCTCTTTTGTGGATTTTCCTTGTATTCCTTTAAATTTTGTTTATTGGTATCATTTGGTATCAAAGCAAGTTCCTGGCATCATGGAAACTCGCTTACAAGAACAGAAGAAACTGATTGATGATGTTGTCAAAACAGCTATGGCTAAGATGGGCGGACATTATGAACAACTACTTAAGGCCATGGAGGAAAAGTATGAAAACCAAGTGTCAGATTTGAGAACTCGAATGTCAGGTCTGAATGTGCAACAAAATCATATCATGGCACAACTTGGTACCTCTTCAACTTCTTGAGGATCTCAAATTTATGGAAATTCATCTTCAAATGCAGGTATGGGGCCACTTACTTCCAAAACTGGCAAGATAGAATTTCCCAAATCCAATGGTGAAGAACTAAAAGATTGGTTGTATAAATGTAATCAATACTTTAGAATTGATGGTATTCCTGATGAACATAAAGCTCATTTGGCTTCAATAAATCTTGAGGGAAAGGCTATGAAGTGGCATCAATCTTTTTTAGAGATTAAGGGAGAGCAAGTGCTTTCAAATTGGGAGGAATATGTTAAAGGCCTTAAGGCTACATTTGGTGAGAAGGCTTATGAGGATCCCATGTCTAATTTGATCTCACTTAAGCAAACTAAGACAGTGGAAGAATTCCAAGAGCAATTTGATACTCTTTTCCCTTGAGCTGGAATAAATGAAAAACAAGTAGTGATTTTTTTCCTCAATGGATTGAAAAGAGAGATAGAAATTTTAGTGAAGATGTTTAAGCCATAGACTCTTTATGATGCTTATGCTTTAGCTCGACTACAAGAGTCTTCTATTCGAGAGGCACAAAAGTTAGCTTTAACATGTAAACTTCAACCCAGACAAACTACACCCTTATTACCTACACCAAACACTCCTCCTCGGACACCTAATGCTACTACAAAAACATTTACCTCTACCAACTCTACCAAATTACCTTACCCAAACACTAGACCATCAAACACCTCTCCCAAACATATTAAGCCCCTTACCAGACAAGAGATGGAGGAGCGGAGGCGAAAAGGATTATGCTATTGGTGTGATGAAAAATTCACCAATGGTCACAAATGCAAAAATATGCAATTATTTTCCATTGAAGTTGTTGAGGGTGATGAAGGAAAAGAAGGGGAAGTCTTTGAGGAAGCCATAAAAGAACTTCCAGATGACTCCAATCCATACATGTCTGTTCATGCATTATTTAGAGGTAGTAGTGGAGCTTACCGTACAATGAGGGTAACTGGATATGTGAATAAGAAACCTATTCACATACTCATTGACTCTGGGAGTACTTATAATTTTTTAGATGTTAATGTGGCAAAAAGGGTTGGCTGTAAATTACAAGCTGTTGAGGCTTTGACAGTTGATGTAACTGATGGAAGTTCATTGGAATGTGTCCATATGTGCCAAGATTTTACTTGGTGGTTACAAGGTAAACCATTTCATACAAATACATTAATTTTACCTCTTGGTAGTTGTGATATGGTGTTGGGAATTTAGTGGCTAAAGACCTTGGGTGACATTTTGTGGAATTTTAAGACTTTACACATGGAGTTTGCTGTCAATGGACAAAAGTATGTACACAGGGGATCCTCTCAGGTGTCTTTAAAGATGGTTGGAAATAAAGGAATGGTGAGATTGCTTAAAAAAGAAGGACAGGCCAGCTCAATACATTTATGTAGTCTGATTGTTGATGCTGTCGAAAGATGTGGCACTTGGAAAACTGAAGAAAATAAAGCTGAAAACGCTTCCAAGAAGGTTTCAACTTGTCTTGAATTAGAAGAATTATTATTAAAATATGTTGATCTCTTTGCAGAACCTAAAGGCCTCCCTTCCCATAGACCTCATGATCATAAAATTTGTTTAAAGGAAGGAACTGATCCTATTAATCAAAGGCCATACAGATATCCAGGAGTGCAGAAGGATGTCATTGAAAAGATGACTCAAGAATTGCTACAATCTGGTATCATCCAACATAGTGTAAGTTCTTTTGCCTCACCTGTAGTTCTGGTTAAGAAGAAAGATGAATCTTGGCGCATGTGTATAGATTACAGAACTCTAAATAAGCAGACTATGAAGGATAAATATCCCATACCCCTCATTTAAGAGTTATTAAATGAGTTGCAAGGATCAAAAATTTTTTCTAAGATTGATCTTAGGTCAAGATACCATCAAATTAGAATGTATCCACCAGATGTTCCAAAAACAGCTTTCAAAACTCATGAAAGGCATTATGAATATTAGTCATGCCATTTGGTCTCACCAATGCACCTTCTACTTTTCAATCTCTTATGAATGATATTTTTAGAGTTTACCTTCGAAAATTTGTCTTGGTATTCTTTGATGATATCCTTGTTTACAGTAAAAGCTTAGAAGAGCATATCTGCCATTTGAGACAGGTATTTAAGCTGTTGAGAGATAATGAGCTATTTGCGAAGCAAAGCAAATGTTTCTTTAATTGTGATAGGATAGAATATCTTGGGCACTATATCTCTAAAGGGGGAGTTTTTACTGATCCTAAGAAGATCTTAGCTGTTCAGCAATGGCCTCAACCGAAGACTGTTAAGGAATTGAGGGGATTTCTTGGTTTGACAGGATATTATCGAAGGTTTATTCGAAATTATGGGAGTTTGAGTAAACCTTTGACAAAATTGCTTAAAAAAGAGGGGTTTCATTGGTCAAAATGAAGCTTTTGAATCCCTTAAGCATGCTGTGACAACAACTCCAGTGTTGGTTTTGCCAGATTTTCCAAGGAGTTTGTAATGGAGACTGATGCTTCTAATGTTGGAATTGGTGCTGTTCTTTTACAACAAGGGCATCTAATAGATTTTATCAACAAGGCTTTGTCCTTAAGACATCAAAGTTTATCAATTTATGAAAAGAGTTGTTAGCTTTAATTTATGCAGTGTGTAAGTGGTCACATTATTTGACTAGAAGGCATTTTATTGTCAAAACACATCACCAGAGTTTGAAGTATCTTTTAGAGCAGAGGATTAGTACTCCTTTACAGTACGCTTGGTTGGCTAAATTAATGGGCTATGATTTTCAATTAGTTATAAAAAGGGAAAAGAAAATGTGGTAGCAGATGCACTTTCTTGAGTATCTAGTAACCAGCTCATGCAAATGGCAGTCTCTAAGATTCTTCCTGGTATTTATGAAGAGGTGAGACTTAGCTGGAAAGTTGATCCAGTGCTTCGAGAAATCTGTAATAAATTACAACAAGGTTCTTTAAAGGATTCTGCTTACACTTGGTTTGAAGGACAACTAAAACGAAAGGGCAGATTAGTTGTGGGAAATAATGCTGTTTTCAGGAGGAAGTTGATTCATTTGGTGCATGATAATGCATTGGGAGGTCACTATGGAATTCAAGCTTCCACAAAAAGGCTTATGCTTTTGTTTTATTGGAAAGGCTTAGAGAAAGATGTGAGGCAGTACATAAGGCAGTGTGATGTATGTCAGCATTACAAACCAGAAAATATTCCAACTCCAAGGCTATTACAACCTCTGCCAATTCCTAAAGCAATTTGGACTCAAGTCAGTATGGATTTCATTACAGGCCTTCCAAAATCTTATGGCAAAGATGTTATCTTTGTTTTTGTTGATAGACTTACAAAATATGCACATTTCATTGCCTTACAACATCACTATTTAGCTCTTATTGTTGCACAAGCTTACATGGACAATGTCTTTAAGTTGCATGGATTGCCTCAAGCAATTGTATCTGACAAGGATCCCATTTGTCTTAGTAATTTTTGGCAGGAGTTGTCCACACTCCAAGGGGTTGAACTACAATGTTCTTCTGCTTATCATCCTCAAACTGATGGGCAAACAGAGGTGGTGAATAGGTGTCTTGAAAATTATTTAAGGTGCATGACTGGTGATCATCCAACAGAGTATAACAAGTGGTTACTTCTTGCTAAGTGGTGGTATAACACTAATTTTCATATTGCTACCCAAATTTCTCCATTTAAGGCTTTGTATGGACTTCTACCACCATTGCATATAACTTATGTACCTAGAGATTCAGATGTTGCAATTGTTGATCAAAGTTTGCAAGCTAGGGATAATATGTTGAAGGTACTGAAATTTCACCTCACTCGAGCACAACAAAGAATGGTACAGCAAGCTGACAAGCATAGACAAGAATGACAATTTGCTATTGGAGATTGGGTGTATCTCAAACTTCAACCATATATGCAAGAATTTGTGCAATCTAGGCCATCTCACAAACTTACTGCTAAATATTTTGGCCCATTTCAGGTGATTGATAAAGTGGGTAGGGTAACATATAAATTAGCCTTGCCTGATTCATCTTAGATACATCTAGTAATTCATGTGTCATAGCTAAAGAAAAAAAGTTAGAGTAGAAATTCAGGTGACTACTCAATTTCCTATTGATTTGCCTTTACCAATGATGTTAGAGCCTATACCAGTGAAGCGGGGAAATCGAGCTGCTACTAAGGTGTTAGTCCAGTGGTCTCATGCTTACCTTGAAGATGCTACTTGGGAGTATCTTTACGATATTCAACAACAATTTCCAAATTTCCATCCTTGAGGACAAGGATGTTTTTGAGGGGAAGGAATTGATATGTAGAAAAACTTAGAAGTCACGTGCAGGTGGCATATCAGTTACTGTTGGTTTGTGTCAGTTAATATGCTAGTATAAACGTGTTTTGTAACTCTTTGTTGAGTGTTTAATTATTTTGGTGTTCTTCAATCTTCTTAAATTCCTCTATAATTCTCTTATATTCTAGACTATATTGCAAAGGATATTTATCGAGGATCCTTTCTCTTTTGTGGATTTTCCTTATATTCCTTTAAATTCTATTTATTGGTATCATAAATCATGGGTAACTGAGGAGAAGGATGATTCGGGGACTATCTGGTGGGTAGGGTACTCCGGATAAGACTTAGTTTTGGACACCCAAATTTCCATTTTCATTTCTTTGACTGGTTGTGTTGTTTTCTACATTTTGGTGTTCTATTGGCTAAGAATTTGTGTAAATGATATTGATGATAATGAAATTCTAATATAAATTTGCGTATATGATTTTCTGAGTTTGTGTTGCCCTAGTCTTATTTGTTGAATTTTCAATGTAAAGATCGCATTATGGATGAACACAATGAACCCTAAAATACATTGCAATATTTGATTTACTTTCACCCATTTAAATGTTTGGGTAACATTTTCGAAGTGGGTCAACACGACCCATTTAGTTTAGACATTATGGACTTAAAAAAAATCGATAAATAAACAAAATAAAATAAAATGAAACCTGTTGATGTTAAAAATATTAAAATATTTAATAATAATTATATAATATATACGATATAATGAAGGCTCTCATTTAATTAAATTTATTATATGATTATTATTAAATATTTTGATATTTTTAATATTTATTAGTGAATTTTAATTAAAATAAATTAATTAGATTTTTCTTATTAAGATAACTAGAGACTAATAAATATAATTAATTAATTTTAAATTAATTATCGTAATTAACTAATTTTGAGTTGTCTAATTTTCCTTAATCTACGTCGTAATCAAGAGCAAAAATTATTTTTTATTAAACTTTAATTTTACCTAAATTTTGTTGTGATGAAGCAATTTAGTCCAGAAGTTTTTAATAATTTTGAATTAGTGCTTTGGTTTTCAAATTTAGTCAAATCAATCCTTCAACTTTTAATTTATTGCTATTGTGCTTGCAAGTTCTTGATTTTATCCAGTTCAATCCTAAAATTTTCAAATGTTACAATTTTACCTGTTTACTTTCAAGCTTACTCAATTAAGACCTAAACAATAAATAAGTTGAATTAAAACCCCAATTTCAAAGTATGCAACCGTTCGTACACAGAGGATTGCAAAGTGCACATATATCCTTTCTCACTTTTAACCGTACCCTTAAACCTCTATCTTTGTATAAACTTGTTTTAGAGTACTTGTCCCATCTTATAATTTGGATGAGTGGTGACTTCAATTTTCTTAATCTTTCACACTTAATTGTTTTTTAATTTCACATTTGAAAAATTTTTAAGTGATATTAATATCAAGCTCCCGTCATTTGCGGACAATGAGCCACATTATCAACATAACTCTCATTGATCACAGACAAAGGGTTCTAGCCATAATACCTCTCGATTATTGATATAGACAATGGGTTTATATTTCATTCTAGTAAAATTCCCATTAATCGTAGACAAAGGACACTTGCCATAATAGCCCCCTATTATTAATACAAACAATGGGCTTATATGTCATCTTGGCAAAATTCTTGTTAATTAGAGACCAAGGGTTCTCACTATAACAGCTTTTTGTCACTGATATGAGCAATGGGTTTACATATGTTCAATTTAGTAAAACTCGTGTTAATCATGGACAAAGGGTTCTTGTCAATAGCTCCTATCACTGACACAAATAATGGGCTTATATATACTTCAAAGTCCTTTGCTATGATGGACAATAGACTTGATTTGATGAGGCATTGACTCATTTGCTGAAGCAAAAGTCTGATAAAGAGGTGGATAACCTCTTCACAATCATTAACATTAACAAAGCAAGATTCTGCACTGATAAAGTCATCATTGCTCACGACTAACAAAAGGTCAACAAGAGAAGTCATTGTTCACAATTAAAGAAAGTTTTAAAAGAGTTGTCACTATTCATGATTGATAATAGTTTTAAAGGTTGTCACTATCCATGATTGGTAAGCCATTACCCAGATTGTTTGTTGAACCTCACTTGCTACTACCCATAGATCAAGTGACCAAAAACTAGTGCCAAGTACACGGGATGCAAAGGTTGTCTATCCTTGGCCAAAGTCATTAACAATGATAATAACGTTTAACAATAAACTTTTGATAGAGTTCATTTGTCATTTTTAAAAACATTGTTATTGTAATACACTTGTACCACGACAAAAAAATGTCATTATGTAGGTTGTCAAACTTGTAGAACCAATGCCATAAAGGTAACGAGAAAGATTACAGGAATAATGGTGTGTAAGGCATGAAGTGACCTATCTTACCTTGTTGTTAAAATGGGATGTCAACGTGGTAAAAATTGGTGCCACCCTTGTCAAGTCCTTTATGATAAATAGAGGGGAAAGGCTTGCTAAAAGTTCAAAATGCTTGTTAATGGGTAAAAGCTCACTCTTCTTATTCTTCTTATCAAACCCAAGCCTAGAAGATAATAAGGAAGTAACCCAATGTCCAAGGTGGTTTGATTTACCCAATAAAACCACTATGCAAAACTATGGATTCATCTCCAACATAGATTTTACCATAAGTACCTTTTATCTTGTTGCCGAATAAGGTAAAATTTTCTGTCATTTTGCTAATTTCAAATCTTTAGTCAAAATATCTCACTCTCCAATAAGTAAAAAATGGGCTGTATTGAGGTTAATAGATGATAAACATGTGTATTGAAATACCCATCCAATGGCCTCAATTAGTACTTTATACAATTAGTACTTTATACAATTACAAAATCACTTGTAGGTATTACAAATACCATTTTCTTTCATTTCTTCACAATCTTTGCAACCTTTTCACCACTATTTTGAGAAATTTTTCTGGTATTGAGAGTTAGGGCTATTCTCTTAGTACTAGTAGTTGCTTTCTCTCTCTAAGCCCACTTATTTTCTCCCAACTTGATCCTCAAATACTCATCAAACACACAAATATTCCATTAGAGTTGTAGATCTCATGAAAAGCTCAAATTTTACTTCTCTTCCAAGCTCTTTTGGCACAAGTTCAATTGTTGCTACTAAAAAAGGAAGCATTTGGGTGAGCACATTGATGAAGTCTTTGACAATATCCCACCTTTGTCATGTATTGGCAAGATAACCTTCTCAATTTGTTGGCTTAGGCATTGTTGAAAGCTTCAAGGAAAGGCTCTAAAAGTAAGAATCCCATTTTTCTAAGTTGCACCAACCAACGAACCCAATCCTTCAATAAAATCTTCTTGTGTTCTCCATCAGAGTTGGCCATGTCACTCCTTGACCAGCCATTGATAGACACACACCTCAACAATTTCTAGATAAACTTTCTTTGCCAAGGATTATCATGTTATTGATATATAGTTTGAAAAGTTTAGAGACTTTGAAATAGGAAAGAATGTTATACATATTCAAGGATCTTTTCAAGAGTAGTGGGGGTTATCATGGAGTGTAGGCCATGGAATTCATTGGAATGGAGGTTTTAAAGTGTCCATAAATGTGTAGATGGGTTGGTTTGTAACATGGGCTAAGGTTTATTCCTTAGTTTAAGTGGTTGTGGTGTTATGTGTGTTGTAATGGTATAACAAATGATTGGGAAGTAGAAGGTAACTAAGTTTCACATACATTTGTTAGTTATCCATTTCTAGTTGTTTCTATTTTTAGCTATTTTATGCCTCAGGAATATGGCATTATAGATGTAAATTTTAAAGTATTAGAGTGAATTTTTAAGGTGTAAAGAAGGCTTCATAATGGTTTTATCTCTTTCATCGTTACAAGATCAGTGCTATTTTTCTCAAAAAAAAAAAAAAAAAACAAACAAACAAACAAAAAGGACACTTCTATTTGGTAAAACCAATAGTAAAGACATTCCTCTTATTTTATTTTTGGCTTTGAAGAAACTTGCAAAGATGAGGGATGACTTGAATAACAGTAGATCTGGAGGCAATGGAGATGATAACACTAGAAGAGACCCTGGGAGATGAGTGGACTTGAAGAAAAGGAGAGATCTATGGAAAAGTGTTGAGGCTTGAATAGGAAAGTTATTGAAATAGAGATAATGGGGAACAAATGAGGATAATAAGAGGATGGTTAGGAAAGCTAGGTTTTTTGGAATTATGTAAAATGATTAAGGTTGTTTGTTTCAATTACTTGGTCAAAGGATTGTTGCTAAAAAGCTCAAATATGAAAAGCTTCAATTTCTTGCTTATGCTATAATGGCTTTTTTAGCAACTTAGTTGTTGAAAGCAACTTATAGAAAAACTAAAAAAATACTAACCAAATAGATCATAAAGTCAAAATAACTTTAAAAACAAGTTTGATTGCTTTTAAAACTCTACCAAATGATTTCATTATATGTTCATTGCTATAGGTTAATCTATAGCAACAACTTTTTTTTTTTTTAAGGATATAGAGAGTATATTAAAATAAAAAAGATTAAAATTGAAGCTCCAGAGCAGGGCACTATAGCTTAATTAAAATCAAAAGCATTACTTATAACACTAGAAATAGACTTAAAGTATTCCTATAATGGATATAGATAATTAAATAGAAAAAGTTATCTGAAACTAAGGATTGCTGACACAATTATTATATAGATCAAAACAGGGTTATTATTGTAGAAAAAAAAAAGTCACTATGAGCATTACGAGCTAACTAGACATCTTCACTTGTTAGGTTAGCATTAGTAGAAAAGCAAGGATACTCAACATTTATAGTTCTTTTTTTGCTAATTGTCATCGTATCACATTATAGCTAATCTAGAAAAGGTTCATAGCCTTCCATCACCAAAACTACAACCACACCAGCATTATTCATGAAAACCCTAAAATCTCTTTCTTCCTCCAGAGGTGCCATATTATTCACACTGGCATCTCTATGTTTCCATGCCTCATATAGTGGAAGGTTGTCATCACCATCCTACACTAGATGAATCTGGCTTGTCATAGTGCCAAAGACATCTTCCACCATCAAAATCTGTCTCTATCAATACCTCAAAGATGTGATGTAAATCTTTGATGCTAGATTAAGGCTACTTCAATGAGGTATCAATCAATTGGCTACTTTGGTTTAATCACTAGCCACATAATAGAGCAAACATCAATCGCACAAGGGGAATTAGTTGTTGAAGTTTGTTGTGTCAATGTTCATGTCTTTAAGGTAAGGCAATCAATTATATAAAGGAGATGTTTTTTAGTGGTATGGATGTAGGTAAAGGCTATAGATGCGAGCAAGGGTTATAGACATAAGCAAGAGGTAGAAAAAAGTGGAGAGACTATTAGAATGAAGATGTTTCTTGAAGGAGGTGCCCATCACCACTTAACTTGAAATCTAGGATTAGTGCATGAAAGTTAGGGTTTTTCTATAATAACAAAAGTTTGTTTTTGTTTGTTAGATTATAAACTATACCATCAATAAGTAATTATGTAAAACTCAAAAGATGTGAGTTTCCATTGATAGGTAATCCCAAGTGTTTGAAAGAAAGTGGACCATGCTAGCAATTTAGTGCATAAGCAACCATGTTTAGCTAAGATTCATCCATATTAATGTCATAAAGAGAACTCTTACTGAAATTAATCCTAAGACCAAATGTCAATTGTAACCACTTAAGATGCCTTTAAAGGCCCAAATGATGTCTTAGGATGCTTCCCTTAAGAGAACCATATAATAGACATATTGCAAGTGAAATGTTGTGAGATTCAATGAAGATCCTTCAAAGTAGGCATCATAAATATTTTAAATTAAAATACTCTTAACATACGCAATTTTACACTAACTACTGTTACACAAAACAAGTTTCGAATTAACTTCCAAAGAAAATACATCAACTTGCACAATTTTACACACCGACTTTATTCTTACATTTTTTTCCTTATTCTAGATTAATCTTTTCTTCTCTTGATTTCTCTAACTTTTGCAAAATATCTCCATGCTTCTAGAATGTCGGTGATGATCATTTAACATAATCACTCAGAATAAAGCAGAGACAAGCTAGTAACATTACCTAGGTTTTCCTTTTTAAGGAAATTATGGAACCACAAAGCAGAATTCTTGAAATATCTTTGCAACCCATTATTATAGTCTACATAAATGATGCCAAATCGACTAGTATAGCCTTGAGCCCACTCAAAGTTATCAAGCAGTGACCAAATGTAGTAACCCTTCACATCAACTCCTTCCCTACAAAAGCAATTACTTATAAGCCAAGCCAAAAAAAAAAAAAAAAGGACAATTAAAACTGTATATTCAAAATGTGAAGTACATTCAAACTAGAAAACTAGCTAGCTACTAACTTGATTGCTTTGGACAGATATAATAGATGGGCACTATGATATTTTATTCTCTGGTTATCGTTGATAAAATCAATCATTGTTGATGACGACTTGGTAACATCACCCATTCCTGAAAATGATCAAGTGTATATATTTGTCTCAAGCTTCTCACAATCTAAAAGAAAGAAGTTAGAAATTGAATATCAAAAAACTTACCATTCTCCGTTATGATGATAGTTGGACTTTTGTATCTTTCTTTTATATATAGCAACATATCTCGAAAACACCATGGACATGTGTATTGTTGAAAAGCACTCGTCTACAAAATTATTTTCATTAGTAGAATAATTTGGTGCAAAGTACTAGTGGAGTTAAAAAAAAAATAAGGGGTCAAAATGACTTCATAAAAAAATGTGGATTAGAATTATATAAAATAAATAAAAATTTAAAGATAAAAATAATAAAAATAAAAAATTGATGAACCATAATAATTTTTCAAAAGTTTAAGGGGGCTTGGGACCCTAAGGACCCCCCTAGCTCTACTAGTGATGCAAAATATTAATTGAATAGCTTGTGAGAAAAGTAGCTAGAGATGGTGCGCACCGATTCACCAATTGAAATTCCTTTTTTCTTCGCTGTAACAATGAAATGAAAACCAAAATAATGATTTAAGAATATGTTGCAATGCAAGTTCATAATAATTCATAAAATTTCTTTAAGTGTCAAGTAGTTGATGCTTACTAGAAAGATCGACATGACTATCTGTTGTGTAGCTTAGGTTGGCACCTCTATCAGATGTAGAGTCATCTGCGTAACTTGCAGCATAGTAGTTCACTCCAAGGAAATCAATTGACCCTTTAATCATTTTAGATTGTTCTTTTGTGAAATTTGGGAGTCGGCTCCCCACCATCTCTCGCATTATTCGAGGATAATCACCATAAACCACTGGATGAATAATCCTAAAAAAAATACAATTGTAACCATTTATGCTTCTATGAAAAGCTAATTAGAAAGGTGAACAAAGAGAAGGTAATGCTATGCTAGGATTGGATCAATCAACATTTTAAGTTTTTTATTTTTTAAAAAAATGAAAGATCCTAAACCTCTAAATTTTTATGATCTTAAAACTTTAAACCATATGGGAAAAGTGAAATCATGATATTTTGACACTTTAAATGCAAGATTTCCTATGATATTGTTCAAATACCCTTGTTGTCTGCTTGGGAACCTATATTTGGGTGGAGTGTATTTGAATTTAAAGCTCCAAATTCAAATACACTATTTGTTTTTGCTTAATAAAGGTGTATTTGAATTTGATCCAAATACATGTATTTAAAATCTTATATTTCAAAGATAAAATTAAATTACATGTATTTCAAATACCTCTTTTACCTTATGAATTTCAATTCTCAATTCTTGTATTTCATCAAAATCAAATGCACCTTTGATCAAGCTTTGCCATTGGCAATTGTGTGATCTTCTATTAAAGTTTGTTTCTACTTCTTTGCCTCAAATACTCCTCTTGAGTTTAAGATGGATTTTGAGTTTATGGAGGATATGATTCTTTGACATAAATTTGAGAAGACATTCACTCTATATGATGGAAAAATCCACAATTTCATCGAGTTTGATACACAATCACTTTCTTCTTGCTCTCATCTTTACCAGTCCCTAATTGAAGGCTTCTTTCTAAGTCCTAGCTCCTTGTCCTCTAAAGCTTTTGAACTCTACAATAGATTGATTCATTTGGGTCTTTAGGTCTAAAAAGAGATGCTCATGGAGACAAGGTTATTGCCTCTTGTATTACCATCATAGCTTTCCCATATTAATAAAAGCATAAGGCAAAATGTCTATAAAATATTTGTAGAAATGTCTAGATGAGAGTCTTAAGCAAATTAAAGAGAAGCATGGTTTGCTCAAAAAGGGAGATGGATGGGCCTCTTTTAATTTGTCAATTATTTTATACATATATGATGGATGATTAGCTTTCTTATGTTGCCATCTTTTGGTGCTTCTCCGCCACTATGATTTGGACAACATGATGTGAAAAGTATATGAGATCCTTTCAATGGCTCAAGGCAAATAAAGAATTGGTTGTCTTTATTTTACAATGTTTGGTGTGCCTTTCTTTTATAAGTATTAAATTCTAAATTAATTATATAAACCCTACACTAAATATAAACTCTAAATACTCATACCAAAGACTAGTGCTAGGCATTTGGTAATATCCAAATTTTTACTCCATCTCCATCAATATTCAGTTTTCAATGGTATCTACAAGGAAAATGATTAGCATACTTTTTGGTTAAATACACCTTTTGACACCCATCTAATTTAGTCATTAAAATACAATATAAGTATAACCGATTCAATCAATTCATACATCTTATATGTATGGTTGCATCTTTAAGTTTGTTTGCCTTTAGTTTCATACTAAAAAAAAATAAATTTTTATGTGCATTGTGCAATATTCTAAACTAAATAGTGTACCAATCAATGTTCTATCCAAAATGTGCCCACCACTACCTAAGGCTTCAAATGAGAGTTTATTTTTTGTATTGGCAAAGAGTACTCCTACTCTAACACAATAAATAAATTACACAAGTGGGGCAATGAAATCAACATAGTTTCAAAAAAATTAAACTACCCCACTATGTAATATAGCCTTAAGAACTTCAAAATCTTGTATATGATTTCCATCCCTAGACGAAATGTAAGAATGGGCTAATTAAGGTGCTCCTCTAATTGCTATTTTGTAAGCTTAAATAGGGTTACATACCAAAGGTCCTTTGAGAGTTTTGGCTATCTATTAGCTTTGAGCCACTATAAGGTTTGGTTTAGTACTTAATACCTAGATGATCTTGTATTGAAGTTCCAAGCTTATCGTGAATGCCTTTTGATTTCTTCATAGCCAAATATTCCATACAACTGCAAACTAAACCACCTCCCAAGCTTCCTTTATAATTCCATTATTGAATAACCCTCTATGTTATATAAAGTGCTTCCAACCCTTATTTGGGGCATAATAATAATGCTCCACCAATTGTAACAAGAAGACCACACATTCCATGCTTTTGGGCATGAAAATAAAAGATGATCCAAGCATTCAATCCCCTTTCCACATAAAACACATGACAAATCATCCTCATTGCTCAACACTTTCCATTTATGTAAATTCTCCTTCATTGGAATTCTATTATAGACTACTTTCCATGCAAAAGTTGAAACTTTTAATGGCACTCTTTGATTCCATAATAGTTTCTAGTCTCTAGGCAATCCTAGATTGAGTTTATAAGTTAACAAATTGTATGCAGATAACACTAAGTGTTTACCTTTTGGATCCTATTTTCACACCCATCTATTTCTCGTCCTTGAACTAAATTTTTCCTTTGTAATTCCTTAATAAGTTTATCTAAAAGATTAATTTCCCAAGCAAAGATTTCTTTGGCAGCTCCATTTTCAATACCACCCCCATCCCTTCATTCTCCTATATCAAATATCAAAGCTTCTTTATTACTTACTAAACTAAACAGTTTGCTAAATCTATCCTTTAATGAGCTATTGCCCACCCATTTGTCATACCAGAATAATGTTTCATTAGCTTCCCCGACCTATTTTTCAACCACCTCTCTCAACCATCCTAGTCTACCCATAACAATATCATCTAAATTCCCACAAGTCCTTCCATCAACTAGAGCTATAACCACGCCCACCACACATTTATCCTATCCATATTATGTTTTATCCCCAAGACCCTTCCCCATAATGTTTCCTTTTCATCTAATAGCCTCCATCTCCATTTTTGCAATAACTCCACATTAAAAATTCCTAAACTCTTGACTCCAAGACCCCCTTCCTTTTTCTACATAGTCTGTCCCACTTGGCTAAGTAATCCTACTTTTCTCCTCAGTTCTCCCTCAAAAATATATATATATACCTTCTTTGAGTTAAAGACAACAAATTTATTACCCTTTTAGGTGCTCTAAGGGTTGAGAAATAGTAGACATGGATATTCAAAAAGACAGCATCAAGGAGAATAATTTTCCACCAAAAGACAGTGAGTAACAACGCCAAGCTGATAGCTCCCATTTGAAACACTTTATTACAAGGGTCTAGGTAGATAATTTCCTTGAGTTTGCTCTAATAGGGACATTAAGGTACTTGAAGGGTATATTTTCCACCATAAATTTAGCATGCTATCCATGCCATTTAGTTCCTTTTTTTCTATATGAACTATAGAAAAGGAGCTTTGGAAAAAATTCACCTTCAAGCCCAAAATAAGCTTGAAGCTCTTGAAAATACCTTTGATTGCCTACACATTCTCTTTGGAAGCCTCACAAAGGAGGATTATATCACCCATGAATTGTAGATATGTTATTTCCACTCCCCCCAAGACCCACCATCATTCTTTTAAAAATTCCTTCATTTATTATCTTTGCTATTAAACCATTGAATGCCTCAACCACCACAAGAAATAGAAAAGAGGCTAATAGATCACCTTAGTGTAGACATTTGAAACTCTTCTATAGGGCTATCATTTACCAACACCAAAATAGAAGTAGAAGATAGATACCTCTTGATCCAAGAGCACCATTTTGTAAAAAAGCCCAGTTTTCTTAGCATAAAATCTAGAAATTCCTAGTTTACACTATTGTAGGCCTTTTGAAAATTTTCCTTGAAAATCACCATGGGTCTTCTTCTCCTCTTTACCCTATGAATTAGTTCATTTGTGATTATAATGTCATTTTCTATTTATCTCCCTCCCAAAAAGGCAGATTGGTTGGGGCTAATTATGGAATCCATCACCTCTTCATTCAGTTGGCTAAAAGCTTAGATACTACTTTATACATACAACTTATAAGAGAAATTAGGTAGTAATTTGATAAGCTTGTGGGATTTTTCTTTTTGGGTATCAAGATTATAAATGACGCATTACTATCTCTCACCAACTTCCCATTAGAGTGAAACTCTTCTATGAACTTACAAATCTCTTTTTTCATAAATGGTCACATTTGTTTGATGAAATTGAAATTTAGTCCATCTAGACCTAGACTCTTACCTCCATTGCAGCTTTACATTGCTTCTCTAATTTCTTCCTCAAAAAATGTTGTGACCAACATGTCATCCTCCTTCTTACTGACTTGTTTAAAAGTATTCAATTCCAATCTCATTTGCAACATTGATCTTTCTCAAATTTTCTTCTATAAAATTCTTTGATGAAGCTTTTAATTTTTGCAGCATCTTCAATCCATTCTCCATCAATCCACTTGCCATCAACTTCATTTTGCTTCCTTCTTTTTGCCACACACCTATAGAACTACTTGATGTTGGTGTTGCCCTACTTGAGCCATCTTTATCTCAATTTTTGGTGAAGTAGACTATCCTTTGCTTATTCAACTCCTATAAACTAATAAAACAATCTTTCCTTTTTTCCACATCCATGTTGGTAAGTGTGCTTTCCTCACACTTGTCATCCAACCTCCTTATCTCCTCTTTTATTGCATCAATGTTTCTTTCTATTTTTATGTGTCCTTGTTCCATGTCTTCAAATCCTTTTTCAAGCACTTAGTTTCTCCTTGAGTCTAAAGCATTCCCATCCCTCTAATTAAAATTATTCCTTTTTTCCTAAACAAAAGTAGTAAAGCCATCAAGGTTCAACCAACTATCCAAACATCTAAATGATTTAGGCCCCCAATCAATGTAGGGTTGTATAAGTAAAATGGGACAGTGGTTGGACATGTCTCTCTTTAAGCCCTATTAAGATGCTTTTGGAAAATTAACTAAAAATTCTAGGGATAGTAGAAACATGTTTAACCTACCAATCACAGTACCATCTAATTTAAACCAAGTGAACTTTCTTCATGCTATAAAGATATCCCTCTATCTTGCTTTTGCAATGAATTTGTTAAAATCCCTAGCCTCTACCACATCGTAAATTCAAGGAGTTATCATTCTCTCACTAGGTAGATTTTTGTTTGGGATTGCTTTTTGCTTATGGGACAAGAGCAATAAGAAAAGGGTGTAGGTTGCTCACTCTAAGTTCTCTCCCTCTCTCATCATTCCTCACTCATTGAAAAAATAGTAAGCAAACAAATAATAGTGTTGTGCTAGGGTGTAGTTGCAAGTATAGGTTTTTTCTGTCTTTTATTATTCCAAAAATATAAAAAATATTAATTAAAATTAGTAACAATGTATTTAAAAAAAGTATGGTATGTAAGACTTATGTTTAAGTAAATTTCTCCTCAAATATTGAGTAGAGATACACTTACACATAAGTTTTACACATTACATTTTCATAAAATCTGAACAAGTCATTTTTCCACTTTTAATGGTTGAGATTTATTCATATTTATTAAAAATAAGTATTTTTTTCATTTAAAAAGTCATGATAAATCTTAACCATTGAAAATGAAAAGATGAATTATCAAGATTTTGTGTTAATGTAGTGTGTAAGAATTGTGTACAAATGAATCCCTCTTCTTAAACATTAATTAAAATTAATAAAGAATAATAAGTTTATATTTATAGATAGGGTGCTATGTGAAAAGGTCTGTATACAACACTTCCAAATAAAGTCTAAGTAAATCCTAAAGAGCGAAACTTAAAATCTAAATACTCAACGCCAAAAATCTCTAATCAAGTTTACTTAGTATGGTTGTGGTTTTTCATTTTCAATTAGTTTTTTTTTTTTTTTTAATTTTGCAATATTGAAAGCCAAAACTAAAAATCAAAAATTAAAAATTTATTTAAAATAAATTTTAACACTAACTAATAAAACAATAAAACATTTTTTATAGTAGTAAAATTAATTTTGTTCTTATTTCTCTAATAATAATAATAATAATAATAATAATAATAATGATGATGATGATGATGATGATTATATGATTAGAATGCACATGAAACTAAACAAATATTTTTAGTTGCAAAATTTATGAAAACAAAAAAACTACAACCATACTATTTAGAGCCTTGAACTCTAGATTTTGATTTCTAAACCTTAAACTTTAAATCACAAACTCTAAACTCTTGTCCTTAACCCTAAAACTAATATTTTAAAACTTTAAAATGATAATATAAACTCAAAAAAATTTAAAATCTCAACACTAAATTTTAGGCTTTATTTGGTATTGTTGTAGTTTTTTGTTTTTATTTTTGGTTTTTAAAAAAAATTTCAATTACTAAAAGCTAAAACTAAAAAATTGAAAACCAAAAATTATTTTAAGATAAGTTTTAATATTAACAACTAAAATTTGAACTTATTTAAGAATACTAAAACTATTTTTATTTTTATTTCTCTAATAATTATAATAATATATATATTACAAAACACATGAAAATAAACAAGTATTTTATTTAGAGAGTTGTAAAATTTATAAAAACTTAAAATTATAATTATACTAAATAGAGCCTTATATATATATATATATTATCAACCACTAAATAGAGCCTTAATAACTTAATAATTAGGCGTTTAGTAATGTTACCCTTTTAAGTAATGGTTTTGGTTGCCAAAATTTGAATAATCTTTATTGACATTTGAAGGCCAACATTGAAAATTAAAATTGATAAATTTTTGGGGGCAAATTTTCAACATTAAAATTCAAAACTAATTTACGTTTAATTTATTAAACTTATTTATTTTAATTTTTAATTTATTAAAATTTTAGAACCAAACCTAAAAATAGAATCAATAACGATACTAAACAAGTCCTAAAATTCTTAAGTAACGGGATTCTTTTTCCTTTTTATTTAAATTGAATCTAAAAATTTAGTAAAAATAAAAAATAAGAATTGTCTCCATCTGCCGACTACTCGAGTGATAGATGTGGACACTATAGCTCCAAATTATTTGGCCGAAGCCAAAAAGGCCAAGAAGAAGCCAAGGAATAAACATTGTTTGGACATGAAAAAGAAAAAAAAAAAAAAAAGGATCGTTTGAACAATTTGGGTTAGCCTAAATTTCATGCATTGTGCTAGCATTATTTTATTATTTTTTTTAATCTCCTTACTATTTTTCGACTCAAAGGCTTGGTGACCAGGACTCTTTAGAACTTCATCATCAAGCTTCTAGTAATCCTGGAGACCAAGTTTTATGCTGTAAGGCCAATGGCTCAAACAACTTACATTCTATAAAAATTGTACTACTTATCAAAGAATTCTATATTCAATTTTTATAAGATTTCAAGGTTAATTAAACCCGAACATGTTTTAGATTTGTTATCTTCGATTTTGCGCTGTGTAAGTGATTGGGTCCGTCAATCAATACTAGAACAATAATGTTGCCATATATAGAAATATATATGTAAATGTTTCTTTACGTACCATCCCCAGTCAAAATCACGAGCCCTTTCGGCAGCTCTCCTACTTTCAATTGTATCAAATTTTGGCACATACCATGTACAAGACACCGTGACCCCAATTGTTCCATTTTGTGAGGCCTAAGTAAAATGAAATTGAAATTAGTACGACTATATTGTAAGAATTATAGTGTAAGAATTACTAGAAGAAAAGTATCTACTAACCTGATATTTTTCTTTATACAATTGTACAGCAATTGCATGAGAAAGAATGAGGTTATGCATTACTATATAAGGCTCAGTCGCTGAATTTCCCTCTGAGCAATTTCCTATATAGATAGAACATCTACCGGGTGCATAAACACCTGTTGCATAACCTCCATCAGCAAATAAATTTGGCTCATTTATGGTCGCCCAATGTTTCACTTTATCGCCAAATTCTTTGAAGCAGAAGTTGGCATAATCTCGAAAGTCGTTCCTAATAATAGAAATTTATTTGTAATTATCAACAATTAATTAATAAGTTCAATTGATTAAAATGATAAAAACACCTTAATTAATCTGTAATTCACTAATGTAATATGTACTGTCAATAACTTAAATGACTTAATATTAATATATTTTTAATAAAAGTAAAGATTTCACTTCCAATTGTACAATATTTGGGTGAGTGAATGACAAGGTAGCAGGCAGTTGCTTAATGAATGACCAAAAAATGGAAAAAAAAAAAAAATTGACTAGTGTAATAACTTACACAATATTCGGACTGAGGAATCCTCCATACTCATCCTCGAGTGCTTGTGGAAGATCCCAGTGGAACAAAGTAACAAAGGGTTGTATTCCTGTTTGAAAATTGGAATAGTGCAAAAAAGAAAAAAAAAAGGCAAAAGTTAACTAGTAAATTTAGTAATTGAGATATATATATATATATATAAGAATTCAAAAGAAGAATGAAGTTCAACCATTTGATAGGAGTTGGTCAATGAGACGATTGTAGAAATCGATTCCTTTTTGATTTATCCCTTTGCTGATTTTACCCACTATTAAAGTACCAAAAGGATGACAAGTTAACTTCAAGTTCACACCAATTAATATAAAGAAACAACATTAAGTGTGTGTTTGGTTGTGGAAAGTAAAATCTAAAAATTTTTAAAAAATATTTTGTTGATTGACATATTTTGAAATTTTTATATACTAAATATTTATCGTTGTTTGGTTCACTTTTGAGTCATGTCCTAATACTATTTCAAATCATGAGTCACACAAGTTACTTGGACTCCGAGTAACTCTTTGGGCTAACCTAGAGCAATTCATGTTCTTAGCTAGCCAAAACTTGGATGGCATTTCAAGCTGCTTCATACCACAAGTCACTCCTAAACTATTTTGGATCCCTAATCAACCAAGTTATAAATTGTCCCGAACCTTGGGTCACACCTCAAGTCAACCTAAGCTACCTTGGAGCCCAAGTTAAGGCTCGAGACACCCCCAACCTCAATGTCACGACTCAAATTGCCCGGACCTTGCCCATGATTTGAGCAGCAACATACCTCGAATCATACTTGAGGTGTCATAAAGCTTGTGTCAGGCTATAAGCCACCTAAACCTCAGTTCTTTTCTTAGTGTTGTCTTAATCCCCCATCACTCCAACAATGGTGAGAAAGATTTTTTAGGATGGGAAAAATGAAATCTTGACCAAGAAATGATGCATTTCTTTTTCAATTGAAAGTCAATGAAAGAAGAAAAAATTAAGTGATGATATTGAAGGTCAAACTAATAGTGTTTGATAATGTAGTACACATGCCATCAATTGAAGGGCAAAATGAACTTAAATTGTATTCAATAGAAGAATATTAATAATGAACAAAAAAGAAAAAATGAAAAATGATATTCATCTTGTGAAAGAATGATATTGATTATTTTCAATCAATTAATCTTTATTTTTCTTCACCACCCTCATCATCACCAAATGTAATTTTCAATAATAATTAAGCTAAAAAATAATTAAAATTGTATGAAATAATGAAGGATGAAATTAATAATAAAAAAACTTAGTAGACTAAATTAATTTTTCAACAAAAGTTTAGGGGCGCTTGTGCACCCTCATGGCCCTTCTAGCTCTGCCTATGGACTCTAGAGCGACTTGGTGAGCGAACCTCACTCCATGGCAGCTGGAGGCGTGACTTAGAATAGGGGCAGCTCAAGGGTGGCTTATCGTGTGATTGGGGACGGAGGTGGCTCAAATCAAGTCCCCTGGCATGACCCGAGACCCGGGAATACTCATAGCATTAACCAATGTTAATTGGGGGTGGCTCACACATGAACAACGGTTGGGGTAGCTCAAAGCGTTACACAAGATCCGTAGCAGCTTTAGAGTGACTTGGACTCCAAGCTTTTCTTTTATTATTTTTAGTTGAGCAAAAATATTTTTCCATTATCATATTCTCTTCTATATGCCAAATATCAAAAAATTATATATATACTTTTCCAAAAATTTATTTTGTGCAAACGAAACTATCCTTAAGTTAGTTATTTCACCAAAATATTTTCGTAAAATTATTGATTTTGAGATGCAATCTTACGAGGTAAAATTCTGGGCCAAGAGATGGAGAATCTAAATGAGTCGAAACCAAGATCTTTCAAACGAGCAACGTCCTCCTGTCAAATTAATTCTTCTCCATGCCATAATTTTTAACAATGGATAAAAAAAAAAAACACTAATTAAAGAATTATTCACAAACCTTCGATAAATAATAGAACTCATCAGCTATATCTCCATTGCTATGGTCTGAAATTTTCCCTGCCATCAAATAAAAAAACATGTTTATTTTATTAAATTTTTAAGATGTTTATTAGAATGCCTGGTTATAATAATAGTTCAACTTTAAACATCTAATCTTGAGCGCCACCAAAATTTTAAGATTGTAAATTAAGGTGCCAACAAGGTAGGGTTACCCATAAGGTGTGGTGCAATAGGAAAATTTCAGTACAAAATAATTACTTAAGAGATGGGCTATGCCTTGGTATGGGCTTAGTGGCCCAGATTTTGATAAAGTTTGTGTCTGCTCAAGAGGCCAGTTTTCCTTTAAAAATTTGTGGTAAACAAATGGTTTTAATTTTAGATGATATTATAAATTTATAATATGATATATTATTATATTTTTTATTTTATAAATTAATAATATAATATGTTATTACATATTTTCTTTCTAGTTTTTGGTTTACAGGGTGGAGAGGGGAAAGACTGATTGACATTTGAATCTTCAACCTAGGATTACTCTTTTTGGTATGGTATTTTATTTAAAAATATAAATTTTATTCCTACTTATAAATTTTAACATATATTTTATATTTTTTTTAATTTTAATTAATATTTTATTATATTTCTAAGATAATATAAAACAAAAGAACCACAACATAACACTTTTAAAAGAAACCTTTATTATTCTACAATAATATAATTATAATGTGATATGGAATTATAAATTTATAATTATAATATTGTATAAAATTGTAAATTTATATAATATTATAAATATCTTTTTAAATAAAAAATTAATTATTTAATAAAATAATATTATAAATTTATAATGTTACATAACATTATAATTATATTATTTTAGTAACTATATACATCACTTTTGTCTGTTACCTGCTCCACTGCTTCGGGTTGCTTACAAATTAATTTTTTTAAACAAATTATAATTATTTCCATGTATTAATTGAAAAATGAAAAAAAAATTCTTGTAAAATTCAAGCACACAACTCTCCAATGATGAATGACTCTGACTCAAAATTCATATAAGTGGACAAAGCGAGCCATTTGATAGCTTATACATTAACTTAAAAATAAGAAACTTGTGGGGTTGGTCCCACGATGTTGCTTATGGTAGTCCCTATATTGGACGGATATGAAATTCTACGGTTGCGGGCCCCCTACTCTGTTATTGACCCATTCTTATATTTTTCTTTTATTCATTTTTTGTATATGTTCGTTTTGACATTGTGGAAACCAATTTGGCGGACTGGGATTTTCCATCAAAAAGGAAGTGGACTAATCACGCTTTTGGAATTTGATCAAGCTCCAGTCTATATCCAATTATTACAGAAAATTGGTAGATAGGTCTTATAAAATTCCAACGATGTTTGTTGGGAACGTGAAAAAGCTGTAGGATAAATAAAACTTACTAATTTGTATCTTGGAACAAAAATGTTTATCCGTATGTTCGCAATTTCTAACAATTAGTGCTTACTTGGATGATGGCGAACTTTATTATAAAATGTTTTTGCTAAAAAAATGATTAGAAAAAAAATTATATATAAAGTTAAAAGGCATTGAAAAAATTAATAAATTTTATAATAAAATTTGTTAAAATATTATATAAGAAACATTCAATAATTAAAAATTTAAATTTTTATGTTAAAAATTTTAAGTTTGAATTATATGATGGGAGAAGAAAGGTTTGAGAATGGAATGATTACTTTATGTTGTAAAATGCATCATTTTAGATATAAAAAAAACTATTAAAAATTTTATTAAATTGTTAATTTTTTTTATATTTAATAAAAAATTAAAATAAAAAAAGCTGTTAAAAAAATTAAGAGGAAAGTTTTTCCTTAAAAAAATAAAAAGAAAAGTTTA